GCTCCTGCTGCTGCTGCTCCTGCTGCTGCTGCTGCTCCTGCTGCTGCTGCTCCTGCTCCTGCTGCTGCTGCTCCTGCTGCTGCTGCTCCTGCTGCTGCTGCTACTGCTGCTGCTGCTCCTGCTCCTGCTGCTCCTGCTGCTGCTCCTGCTCCTGCTGCTGCTGCTGCTGCTCCTGCTGCTACTCCTGCTGCTCCTGCTGCTGCTGCTGCTGCTCCTACTGCTGCTGCTGCTCCTGCTGCTGCTGCTGCTCCTGCTCCTGCTGCTGCTTGATCCCAATCGAGTCATTTGCGGCGTCATTTTTTTTGCAAATTTGGCAAACTTTGGACCCATGACTGATGTCACGGGATGAGAAACGCCCAGTCCCAGGCATCGAACCCAGGCTCTCAGTTGCGCTGGCTCAGTAGCTCTGACACGGCCATCATGACCCCCCCCCCCCTCCCCGCTGAGAGAGACACACCCAGCCACAGGCATCGAACCCAGGACTTCAACGGTGCTGGCTCAGTAGCTCTGACACGGCCATCATGACCCCCTCCCCCCCCCCCCCCACTGAGAGAGACACACCCAGCCACAGGCATCGAACCCAGGACTTCAACGGTGCTGGCTCAGTAGCTCTGACACGGCCATCATGACCCCCTCCCCCTCCCCCCCCCGCTGAGAGAGACACACCCAGCCACAGGCATCGAACCCAGGACTTCAACGGTGCTGGCTCAGTAGCTCTGACACGGCAATTATGAACACCCCACAGCCTGAGAGCGCCACACTCAATCCCAGGTACCCACAACATTTGCCTACGTTTACCTACGCATATGTTGTAGTGGAGTTGCCGGAGGAGCTGCCGCTCGCCCGCAAAGAGTGGAGTTGCCGGAGGAGCTGACGCTCGCTCACAAAGAGTGGAGTTGCCGTAGGAGCTGACGCTCACAAAGAGTGGAGTTGCCGGAGGAGCTGACGCTCACAAAGAGTGGAGTTGCCGGAGGAGCTGACGCTCACAAAGAGTGGAGTTGTCGGAGGAGCTGCCGCTCGCTCACAAAGAGTGGAGTTGCCGTAGGCGCTGACACTCACAAAGAGTGGAGTTGCCGGAGGAGCTGACACTCGCAAAGAGTGGAGTTGCCGTAGGTGCTGACGCTCGCTCACAAAGAGTGGAGTTGTCGGAGGAGCTGACGCTCACTCGCAAAGAGTGAAGTTGCCGGAGTCGCTGACACTCGCTCACAAAGAGTGGAGTTGCCGGAGGAGCTGACACTCGCAAAGAGTGGAGTTGCCGTAGGTGCTGACGCTCGCTCACAAAGAGTGGAGTTGTCGGAGGAGCTGACGCTCACTCGCAAAGAGTGAAGTTGCCGGAGTCGCTGACACTCGCTCACAAAGAGTGGAGTTGCCGGAGGAGCTGACGCTCGTTCACAAGGAGTGGAGTTGCCGTAGGAGCTGACGCTCGCTCACAAAGAGTGGAGTTGCCGTAGGAGCTGACGCTCGCAAAGAGTGGAGTTGCCGGAGGAGCTGATGCTCGCTCACAAAGAGTTGAGTTGCCGGAGGTGCTGACGCTCGCTCGCAAAGAGTGGAGTTGTCGGAGGCGCTGACATTCGCAAAGAGTGGAGTTGTCGGAGGAGCTGACACTCGCTCACAAAGTGTGGAGTTGCCGTAGGCGCCGACACTCACAAAGAGTGGAGTTGCCGTAGGTGCTGACACTCGCTCGTAAAGAGTGGAGTTGTCGGAGGAGCTGACACTCGCAAAGAGTGGAGTTGCCGGAGTCGCTGACACTCGCTCACAAAGAGTGGAGTTGCCGTAGGAGCTGACGCTCGCTCACAAAGAGTGGAGTTGCCGTAGGAGCTGACGCTCGCAAAGAGTGGAGTTGCCGGAGGAGCTGACGCTCACAAAGAGTGGAGTTGTCGGAGGAGCTGCCGCTCGCTCACAAAGAGTGGAGTTGCCGTAGGCGCTGACACTCACAAAGAGTGGAGTTGCCGGAGGAGCTGACACTCGCAAAGAGTGGAGTTGCCGTAGGTGCTGACGCTCGCTCACAAAGAGTGGAGTTGTCGGAGGAGCTGACGCTCGTTCACAAGGAGTGGAGTTGCCGTAGGAGCTGACGCTCACTCGCAAAGAGTGAAGTTGCCGGAGTCGCTGACACTCGCTCACAAAGAGTGGAGTTGCCGGAGGAGCTGACGCTCGTTCACAAGGAGTGGAGTTGCCGTAGGAGCTGACGCTCGCTCACAAAGAGTGGAGTTGCCGTAGGAGCTGACGCTCGCAAAGAGTGGAGTTGCCGGAGGAGCTGATGCTCGCTCACAAAGAGTTGAGTTGCCGTAGGAGCTGACGCTCGCTCACAAAGAGTGGAGTTGCCGTAGGAGCTGACGCTCGCTCACAAGGAGTGGAGTTGCCGTAGGAGCTGACGCTCGCTCACAAGGAGTGCAGCGCCGGGGCGGACGAAAGCGTGGACATTTTGCGCAGTGGGCCAGCACGGTTGGCGACTCTGCCGGTCGTCTCGGTCGGTCGAGCCCTAGGCGGCTTCCACCTGGGGACCGTCACGTGGCACCTCCTCCTCCTCCTGCCAGCAGCGAGGAGGAGGTGCACCCAGCCTGGCACGAGCGCCGCGATGACGTCGCCGTCACTCGTCGTCGTCGTCGTCGTCGATGGCAACGTTGCGACAGAAAGGCCCGCGTGTGTTGGGGTCATGGTGAACGTCATCGTCAACGTCGTCATCGTCGTCATCGTCATCGTCGTCAACGTCATCGTCATCGTCAACGTCGTCATCGTCGTCGTCATCGTCGTCATCAACGTCATCGTCATCATCCTGCAGTTCGCTTCATTGACTGCCTCTGTTCGCATTCGGGAAGAGCACGGAGAGAAATCCACGCGACCGCCGCCGGGGAGAGTGAAAACAACGCCAACTCCGAACATTCAGCAGGCGCTGTGAGAGTCGAGATCGAACCCACGACCTCCTGTATACCGGGCGAGGTAGTTAACATCTCCTAGCACTCGTGATGATGATGCTGAAATAGAGACACGCAAACTCCAAATATACAGCAGCAGGCATCAGTCGATATCGAACCCACGACCTCCTGTATACCGGGCGAGGTAGTTAACATCTCCTAGCACTCGTGATGATGATGATGATGAAATAGAGACACGCAAACTCCAAATATACAGCAGCAGGCATCAGTCGAGATCGAACCCACGACCTCCTGTATACCGGGCGAGGTAGTTAACATCTCCTAGCACCCGTGATGATGATGAAATAGAGACACGCAAACTCCAAATATACAGCAGCAGGCATCAGTCGATATCGAACCCACGACCTCCTGTATACCGCGCGAGGTAGTTAACATCTCCTAGCCATTGTGATGAGAGAGGGAGACACGCAGACTCTAAGTATACAGCAGGCGACAGGGTCAGGATTGAACCCACGACCTCCTTTACACCAGGCGAGATAGTTAACATCTCGCTACCGTGTGTTTGCGGTGACCCGGTTTTGTGACGAGGCGTCAAAATAATTTGACTCCGCTATTCGTAGCGACTGAGCAATACACACAACAAAACCCCAACAGATCGAGCAATCTTATAAAGCATCACTTACAGCACTGCGGCACGACACACAATACACACTCACTCACTCATACACAATACACACTCACTCATACACAATACACACTCACTCACTCATACACAATACACACTCACTCACTCATACACAATACACACTCACTCATGCACAATACACTAACTCGTACACAATACATGCTCACAGCAAAACGTTACAATGGAGGACGTCGCTGGCACATTGCGGTGTGAAGGTAAACCCACACTCACTCACTCACCCACTCACCCACACACCGACTCAATCACTCACTCACGCAACCTGTCTCTCGCTCACTCACTCACCTGCCCACTCATCCTCCCACTCTCTCACCCTCCCACTCTCACTCACCTACCCACCGACTGACTCACTCAACCGCTCACTCATCCTGTCTCTCGCTCACTCACTCACCCACCCACCGACTGACTCACTCAACCGCTCACTCATCCTGTCTCTCGCTCACTCACTCACCCACCCACCGACTGACTCACTCAACTGCTCACTCATCCTGTCTCTCGCTCACTCACTCACCCTCTCACCCCCTCGCTCACTCACTCACCTACCCACCCACCGACTGACTCACTGAACCGCTCACTCATCCTGTCTCTCGCTCACTCACTCACCCGCTCACTCACCCTCCCACTCACTCATCCTCCCACGCTCACCCTCCCACTCACTCACCCGCTCACACTCTCACCCTCTCGCTCACTCACTCACCCACCGACTCATTCACTCACCCACTCACTCAACCGCTCACTCACCCTGTCTCTCGCTCACTCACTCTCTCACCCTCCCACTCACTCGCTCACCCTCCCACTCACGCACTCGCTCACCCTCCCACTCACTCGCTCACCCACCCTCCCACTCACTCGCTCACCCTCCCACTCACTCTCTTACCCTCCCGCTCACTCGCTCACCCTCCCACTCACTCTCTCCCCTCCCACTCACTCTCCCACCCTCCCACTCACTCTCTCACCCACCCTCCCCTCTCACCCTCCCACTCACTCTCTCACCCTCCCACTCACTCGCTCACCCTCCCACTCACTCGCTCACCCTCCCACTCACTCTCTCCCCTCCCACTCACTCTCTCCCCTCCCACTCACTCTCTCCCCTCCCACTCACTCGCTCACCCTCCCACTCACTCGCTCACCCTCCCATTCACTCGCTCACCCACTCACTCACTCACCCTCTCACTCACTCGCTCATCCTCCCACTCACTCACCCTCACTCTCCCACCCTCCCACTCACTCGCTCACCCTCCCACTCACTCTCTCACCCACTCTCCCACTCGCTCACCCACCCTCCCACTCACTCTCCCACCCTCCCACTCACTCTCTCACCCTCTCTCCCACTCGCTCACCCACCCTCCCGCTCACTCGCTCACCCTCCCACTCACTCTCTCACCCTCTCTCCCACTCGCTCACCCACCCTCCCGCTCACTCACCCTTCCTCACTGTCGGCAGGACGATCCCGCGTCTCGCGCCCTTCGCTTTCCCACCACGTGCGCGCAGCCACCTTCAGCAGCAAGTCCGGTGTGCAACTGAGGGCCCGGATATGCGGGGAGGGAGGGAGGGTACGTGAGAGGGAGGGGAGAGGCAGGCAGGGAGAGAGAGGGAGGGCGGAGAGAGTGAATGAGGGACGGGTGGAGGGGTGAGGGATGGAGAGATGGGAGGGAGGGGTGAGATGGGAGGGAGGGGTGAGATGGGAGGGAGGGGTGAGATGGGAGGGAGCAAGCGATGAACCGAGGCATGGAGAGAGTGAGTTTGGGGGTGGAGAGAGCGAGCGAGGTAGATGCGCCTGGTCTGAGAGTGTGAGTGTGTATGAGTGTGTGAGTGAGTGTGTGAGTGTATGAGTGTGTGAGTGAGTGAGTGTGTGAGTGAGAGTGTGAGTGTGTGAGTGAGTGTGTGTGTGAGTGTATGAGTGTGTGAGTGAGTGTGTGAGTGAGTGTGTGAGTGTGTGAGTGAGTGAGTGTGTGAGTGAGAGTGTGAGTGTGTGAGTGAGTGAGTGTGTGAGTGTATGAGTGTGTGAGTGTATGAGTGTGTGAGTGAGTGTGTGAGCATGTGAATGTGTGAGTAAGTGTGTGAGTGAGTGTGTGTGAGTGAGTGTGTGTGTGAGTGAGTGTGTGTGTGAGTGAGTGTGTGAGTGAGTGTGTGTGTGAGTGAGTGTGTGTGTGAGTGAGTGTGTGAGTGAGTGTGTGAGTGAGTGTGTGTGTGAGTGAGTGTGTGAGTGAGCGTGTGTGTGAGTGATTGTGTGAATGAGTGTGTGAGTGTATGAGTGTGTGAATGAGTGTGTGAGTGTATGAGTGTGTGTGTGAGTGTGTGAGTGAGTGTGTGAGTGTGTGTGTGAGTGTGTGTGTGAGTGATTGTGTGTGTGAGTGATTGTGTGTGTGAGTGATTGTGTGTGTGAATGAGTGTGTGAGTGAGTGTGTGTGAGTGTGTGTGAGCGGCAAAACAACCCCCTACCTCCTCGCGGTGCCGGACGGGCAACTCTGTCGTGGACAGTGCTGTGGGGGGAGTTCCAATTTTGATTGGCTCCTCCCCTCATGGCATATGTGTCCACCACAGGGGCTAAACGGGGGCTCTGGACGGGTGCGAGGGGCTGGTAACCCCTCCACCTTCAATTAATTACCACAAAACCACGAATTAAAGTGAAATATGTAACAACTAAGCTTGTGCCGGAGGCCCCGGGGGGCCAGGCGTCTATGACGTCTCCTGGCCAAACCCCAATTGGCGGAGCCAGGAGATTGAATACCTACCCTCGGGGCTACTCCAGAAACAACGAAAAGCCACTACGGGTGGCCACGTGGAATGTTCGAACGCTCACTGCAGAGGAGAGGCTGCCACTCCTCTGTCGGGAGCTGGACCGGTACCGCCTGGATCTATGCGGCATTCAGGAGGTCCGGTGGACCGGCTCTGGCTCCTGCCACCATGAGGGGTGGACAGTCCTCTACTCGGGGCAGCAGACTGCCAAACAACAGGGTGTGGGTCTTCTTTTGAACAAAAGAATGAAGGGGGCGTGGGAGCGTGGCGGTGAGGTGTGGGAAGCTGTAAGCCCCAGGCTACTTTGGGCTCGCCTTCCCATCAACCGGAGGCGAGGAATGGTGGTCGTGGTTACTTATGCCCCCACCGAAGATGAACATCCGTGGAGGGATGCAGGCAAAGCCGATGAGTCAGATGCCTTCTATGACCTCCTGTCACAGGTGCTGGCTAAAGTGGCCCCTCGGGATAGAGTCATCATGTTGGGTGACTTCAATGCCCGAGTTGGTCATGATACTGGCACCTGGTCTGGAGTGATTGGAGGGCATGGGCCAGATCAGCTCAATAACAATGGTAGGAGGCTGCTAGATTTTTGTGCAGCCCATGGGCTTGTAATTACCAACACGCTGTTCCGGCATCGGCGCATCCACACAACATCATGGATGCATGCCGGGTCCAAGCAAGAACATCTGCTGGACTACATAGTGACGGACCAGCGAATGCGAGCCCATGTCCTTGACACCAGGACCTACCGTGGAGCTGATCTGCCCTCTGACCATCGACTAGTCATCTGTAAGATGCGCCTGCCATTCTTCCACTCCGGTGGTGGGTGTACACCCAGGACCCCATTCCAACCTAAAGTGGCCTGGTCTCAGTTATCTGATGAAAGTTGCAAGCGAGAATTTCATCATCGCTTGCGGCTGGGATTGGCATCGTCCCCGACTCCTCCTGATGTCGAGGGTAAATGGGCGAGGTTTAGGACTGTGACTCATGCAGCTGCAATGGCTGCTTTGGGTACGCGGTCCAGACCTCCCCAGACACCCTGGATGACAGAGGAGTTGTTCAGGATGGTTGAGAAAAAGCGACAGGCCCACTGTCATCGGCTACAGAATCCCACGTCAGAGAATGAGGAGGCTTACCGCAGCCTTCGCTCGGAGGTTCGGAGAGCCGTGAGGCGCTGCAAGGATGGGTGGTGGTCGCGGGTTGCTGAGGAGATGGAGTCTGCCTCAGTGGCCCGTGATCACAAATCGCTATTTAACTCCATCAAAAAAGTAACCTGCAGCGCCACACCTATTACCATCATTAGGGGAAAAAACGGTGATCCAATTTCCGACCCCCAGGAACAGGTTCGCAGATTTGCTGAGCATTTCTGTGAGGTCCTGGGGGAGGGAAAATCCCACAGCCAGGAAAACATCGTGGCACAAAGTGAGGATGACCCTGCTGAGGCTGCGGTGCCTCAAATATTGGATGAAGTCACCCCCTGTGAGTGGCTGGCTGAGGTGCCATCTGCTGAGGAAGTATTGAAGGCGATCCGGAGTCTGAGACCAGGAAAGGCAGCGGGCAGAGATGATCTCCCAAGCGAAATGCTGAGGGAGGGTGGCGTTTGTGCACAGACTGCCCTATATGACATCATAACAACAGTCTGGACCACTGGACGGGTTCCGCAGGATTGGAAGGATGCCCTGGTGGTCCCCCTTTTTAAGAAGGGGGACCGCACAGACTGTAACAACTACAGGGGCATCTCACTCCTCAGTGTGCCGGGAAAGGTCCTGGCAAGGATTATTCAGCATCGCCTTGCCAGGCACGCTGAGGAGAGGCTTGCGGAGCCCCAATGCGGTTTCAGGAAAGGGCGGTCCTGCACAGATGCCATATTTTCTGTCCGTCTGCTACAGCAGAGGTGTAGGGAATTCCAACAAGACCTACATCTCTGCTTTATTGACCTGGTCAAGGCCTATGATACCATCAGTAGGCCTGGGCTCTGGGTCGTTCTTCGTGCTTTTGGAGTACCTGACCCTCTGCTCACGATCATTAAGGACCTTCATGATGGTGAGCGGGCCCGGGTAAAACTACGTGGCCGGGAGTCAGAGCCATTCCCTGTACACCTTGGGGTGCGACAGGGATGTCCTCTGGCTCCCACATTATTTAACATCTATTTTGACCACGTAGTTCGTGAAGCCTTCAATAGCTGTACCGGGGGAATCTCCATATGGTACAGATATAATGGGAGGCTAATCGATGCCAGGGTGCGGTCAAGGGATGGCTCCCTATTGCTCAACCACGTTATGTATGCTGATGACTTGGTAATAGCTGCTCAGTCAGAGGAGGAGTTGGAGACGCTGCTGCTGAGACTGGAGCGTGCCACTAAGAGGTGGGGCCTTACCATCAGCCCCACCAAAACTAAGCACCTGCCTGGGTATTTTGTACCATCGGACACTCCACCCCCACAACTCCCAATCGGTGATGGGGCAGTTGTGGAGAGAGTGGAGAGTTTCCCATACCTGGGCAGTGTGCTTATGACTGGCTCCAGTTTAACAGCAGAGGTCTCACTCCGAATCAGTCGAGCGGCAATATCTTTTCATCGGTTGCGTAACGCTGTGTGGAAGCTACCTGGTCTGTCGCTCCGCACTAAGCTTCAGGTCTTCTCGGCCACGGTCATTCCCTCCCTTCTCTACGCTTGCGAAACGTGGACCCCCCTAATGGAACATCTTCGCCGGTTAGAAACATTTAGGCTGACCTGCCTACGATCCATCCTGGGTTTAACCAGACTGGATTGTGTGAGGAGCTCACAAATCCTTGAAAGATCTGGGCAGGGTCCCATCGGTGAGCTCCTCCGGCAGGCAAGGCTGCGATGGCTGGGTCATGTAGCCCGCATGCCCAGCCACCGCATGCCGAAACAGCTTTTGTTTGGCCGGATTGAGGGGGCTAAGCGGGCGCGGCACGGGCTAGAGAAGAGATGGAGTGATGTGGTACAGGAGGACGTGGAGCTGAGTGGACTTGCCGATGACTGGTACCAGCGGTGTCAAGATCGGCCTCTGTGGAGGAGGCTCGTGAAGGATGCTACTGGGCAGTTGGAGGCAGTCGCCCTCCAACAACAACGGAGGGCGGAGGAGCGACGCTCACAACAGCGAGCGGAGCGCCGGGTGGCTAAAGCACAGCAGGTTGGCACAGTAGGGGGCACAGGTGGTGCATCAGCCAGTCATCTCAGTCAGTCGACCCGTGGCACCTGGGTCTGCCCCGTGACCTCCTGCCAGCGGGCGTTCGACACTTCACGTGGCCTCAGGGTGCACATAGCCTGGCACAAGCGTCGTGGTGACGTCACCGCCACTTAGTGGCGAATGGCGGTTGTTGTTGTTGTTGTATGAGTGTGTGAGTGAGTGTGTGTGTGAGTGAGTGTGTGTGAGTGTGTGAGTGAGTGTGTGAGTGATTGTGTGTGTGAGTGATTGTGTGTGTGAATGAGTGTGTGAGTGAGTGTGTGTGAGTGAGTGTGTGAGTGAGTGTATGAGTGAGTGTATGAGTGTGTGTGTGAGTGAGTGTGTGAGTGAGTGTGTGAGTGTGTGAGTGATTGTGTGTGTGTGAGTGAGTGTGTGAGTGAGAGTGTGTGAGTGTATGAGTGAGTGTGTGAGTGAGTGAGTGTGTGAGTGAGTCAGTGTGTGTGTGTGTGAGTGTGTGAGTGAGTGAGTGTGTGAGTGAGTGTGTGAGTGTGTGAGTGAGTGAGTGTGTGAGTGAGAGTGTGAGTGTGTGAGTGTATGAGTGTATGAGTGTGTGAGTGTATGAGTGTGTGAGT